TGAGAAGGGGATTCCCAGCGGCTCGTGCAACGACTTGTGCGTTTGCGGATGCACGGGTGAGGCCTTCGCCCAGTGGATGCCCCAAACGACGAGCGCGCAAGTCAGCAACCTGTGGCGTTCACGCGAAAACGACAAACCAAGCCAAGCCAAGCCAAGCCAAGCCAAGCCAGGCCAGGCCAGGCCAAGCCAAGCCAAGCCAAACCAAACCAAACCAACAACAAAAACGGCAACAGCAGCAGCGACAACAACAACGACGACCTCGCTCCGCAGGTCCGCCTTGCGGCGGGCGTTCCCCTCCTTCCAGGCTGAGTGCGTTGATCTCCCGAAGGGCGAGAAGGGGCCGTTTTCGCATATTATGGTCCCTTTGGTTTGGATACCGTTAACACTAAAGCAGATTCCAAGAAAACCCAGTTCTTACTGCGCCAGACATCCTACACAAGGGCGTAGTCATGTAGAAAAGCTGCGAAGCGGATGACATCCGCCGCGACAGGCTCGCTGATCCATGCGGCTGGAGGAGTCAGAGGCGAGATTTTCCACTGCGCTGCTTTTAGTTTTGAAGTTGCGACTAGATGCGGCTAGTAGATTTTAGTGGAAAAGCGATAGGGCTTGCCTGGCTTGTGCAGTTGTTGGACTTCCGTTGGAACGCGCATACACAGAGACACACACACACACACAAACGCAAGCAACGCGGCCACTTACTAGAGAGCTTCGCCGACGTACTGACGCATACTCCGCTCAGAGCATGGCTTCTGCAGCAAAACACATTGATAGCGAGCTGTTCCGGAACGCAGGCTGCAACCTCACAGCAACCCTTTGAGTGCCAAGTTGGGCCTCGGCCTCACTGAGCCCGAGCCCAGTCCGAGTCCTAGCCTCAGGGCAATGCATGAACCTCGCGGCGCAGCGACTCTGTTGTGACTGTTTGTGGCTGTTTGTGACCCCACAAAATTCCTTCAAGCCCAGGTGTCTCTACAGCGGTGTGAGCCCATCGCCCAGGCGAAGCCGTAACAAAAAGGTGCACTGTCATGTCACGCGGGGGAGGCTGCAGAATCAAGTTTTCCCAACCTGCTGGCAGGTTGATTGGTGTTGTCGGACGAGAGTCGAAGCCACCACTAGCTACCACCACGCCTCGCTTCTGACCACCCAAGGCTGGGAGACCCCACATGCTGTGGGGCAGTGACCGTTGCCGGGAATGAGTTGAACAGTTGCCGATTCCGGCCCATGATATGTCGACACACTGTTGTGCCTTGAGTGCCTGCAGTCTCTTGGGGACGAAGGTTGTGTGTCGGCGTGGGTCGGTGTCATGGATGGGGCCCACTGGACACAAACAGCGACAGAACCTCCGAAGCCAATCTCTTTCACCGACAGTCGAAACTCGTGGATGCCAAGCACAGGCATGCAGCAGCCCTCGCAGATGCAGGCCTGAGCAGCTTGTGCTTGCTATCTCGAGATTCGTAAAGAACGTTTCGCATTTGACAGCGGGCGGCTTCAGCGGAACGCGCCGGAAATTCCATCGATCACCGATGTCAGTGCGGCCGCCGCGCGCAGTGGTCTTTCAGACCAGATGGTCCGGAGGGGCAAGCTTTTCTAGCTGTTAACTTGGCCCCACTGGCCGTCAGGTTCAGTGTTGCCAGCTTCCGACTCTGCTGGGGACTGCTGTCCCCGTCCTGCATGCTTGCCGCTTACAGCATCGTTGAGGGCTTGCAGCAAGAGAGAACAGGCTTGCTTTGGAAATGGCTTGCTTGGCCGTTTGGCCTTTGGAATCTCAAGAATACCCAAACTGTGATGAAGATTTTGCAAAGCATGTCGTTGTAAATCTAGAAATCCGGAGGCACGCTTGGCCATTGGCAGCACGCAATGTGCAGCAGAGCTCTGAAGCCTTTGAGTCGGAAGGTGACTTGCGTTTGACGACCCGGACCCTACCACCCAAGGCTCGGAGATTCATACCTGCCGCCGATTCCGACGCATGGCTCGTCGTCAAGTGTCCGTTTACACCGGTTGGCCTTGAGTGCCTGTAGTTTCTTAAGGGCGAAGGTTGTGTGTCGGCGTGGGTCGGTGTCATGGATGGGGCCCACTGGACACAAACAGCGACAGAACCTCCGAAGCCAATCTCTTTCACCGACAGTCGAAACTCGTGGATGCCAAGCACAGGCATGCAGCAGCCCTCGCAGATGCAGGCCTGAGCAGCTTGTGCTTGCTATCTCGAAATTCGTAAAGAACGTTTCGCATTTGAGGAAATTCCATCGATCACCGATGTCAGTGCGGCCGCCGCGCGCAGTGGTCTTTCAGACCAGATGGTCTGGAGGGGCAAGCTTTTCTAGCTGTTAACTTGGCCCCACTGGCCGTCAGGTTCAGTGTTGCCAGCTTCCGATTCTGCCAGGGACTGCTGTCCCTGCCTGCATGCTTGCCGCGTAAGAGAGAACAGGCTTGCTTTGGACTTCGCTTGTTTTGCTTTTGGAATCTCAAGAATGCCCACACTGCGATGAAGATTTGGCAAAGCATGTCGTTGTAAATCTAGAAATCCGGAGGCACGCTTGGCCATTGGCAGCACGCAATGTGCATCAGAGCTCTAAAGCCTTTTGAGTCGGAAGGTGACTTGCGTTTGACGACCCGGACCCAACCACCCAAGGCCCGGAGATCCGTACCTGTGGCCACAACGCTTGTGCTTCTGGATTCAGGATGATGTGCTTCGGACCCTACAAACAGTTGTGGCATGGCACTACATGCTGTGGGCATGACCGTTGCCGGGTTTGAGTTGAACAGTCGCCGATTCCGGCACATCCCGGGTTTGTCAAACCCTTTCCCCTTCGCCCAAGGCTGCCCCTTCGACTAACGTTCGGGTGCCAACTGCCTTCGTGGTGTTTCTGCAGTGTCTGTTTTCACTGAGACTGCCTGGATTTGATTGCGCGGCTTCGCATGTTGGTTTCAGCGCAGATGCAGGCCTGAGCACCTCGCACACCTCCCGCTTGCGATGTCGAAGCTCGTAAAAAATGTTTCGCTTTTCACAGTGGGTGGCTTCAGCGGACTGCGCGAGAAATTCGATGAATCAAGGATTCCAACGCAGCCACCGCGCAGAGCAGGCCTTCGGACCAGATCACCTGCCCGCGCTGGCTGTCACGGCCGTCAGCTGCACTGTCGGAAGATTCCGACTCTGCCGGGGGCTGCTGTCCCGGTCCTGCGTGCTTGCCTCTTGCAGCAGCTGGAGGGCTTGCAGCACACTCTTCCATGATTCAACCTGGCTTGCTTTGGACTTCGCTTGTTTTGCGTGCGGCGCAAGTTTTCAGAGCCTCAAAACATGCCCGAACTGCGATGCGTCAAGTTTGGCGAAGCATGTCGTTGTAAGTTTTGGAAATCCGAAGGCACCCTTTGACATTGACAGCACGCACTGTGCAAGAGGGCCCTAAAGCCTGTTGAATCGGAAGGTAATCTGCGTCGGACGACCCTACCACCCAAGGCTCGGAGATCCGTACCTGTGGCCACAGCGGCTGTACCTGTCGCCACAATGTTTGTGCCTTTGGATGATGTGCTTCGGACCCTACAAACAGTTGTGGCATGGCGCTACATGCTGTGGACATGACCTTTGCCGGGTTTGAGTTGAGCAGTCGCCGATTCCGGCACATGGCTCGTCGTCAAGTGGTTGTTTGCACCGGTTAGCCTTGAGTGCCTGTAGTTTCTCAACGGCGAAGTTTGCGTGTTTGTGTCATGGATGGGACCCGCTGGGCACAAACAACAATTGCACCTCCGAAGCGAATCTCTCTCACCAACATTTCAGACTCGTGGATGCCATCTTGCAGCATGGCCGACAAAGCTTCGAAGGCTGCAGTAGTCAGGTATGCTCAGATGGGGGCAGCGCTCTGCGTAGATGTTCGGCAGGGTTCGCCTGAGCCCCGCCCCAGGTTCGTCAAACCCTTTCCCCTTCGCCCGAGGCTGCCCCTTCGACTAACGTTCGGGTGCCAACTGCCTTCGTGGTGTTTCGGCGCCTTTGTGGAAGCAGGGGTTAGTGTCTGTTTTCACTGAGACTGCCTGGATTTGATTGCGCGGCTTCGCATGTTGGTTTCAGGCCTTCGTCAAAGCATTCTGTCTTCGTCTAAGGCTCGGGGGGTTCATCAAAGGCCGTCCGCCTTACACAAGTTGTGTCAAACACATTCTTTTGTCCCTTGAGCCTGCCGCCCCCCTCTGAGCCATGCCTGTGCCTGGTCCTGTCCTCGCAGATGCAGGCCTGAGCACCTCGCGCACCGAAGCTCGTAAAGAATGTTTCGCATTTGACAGTGGGTGGCTTCAGCGGACGGACCAGATCACCTGCCCGCGCCGGCTGTCACGGCCGTCAGCTGCACTGTCGGAAGATTCCGGGGACTGCTGTCCCGGTCCTGCGTGCTTGCCTCTTGCAGCATCTGGAGGGCTTGCAGCACACTCTTCCATGATTCAACCTGGCTTGCTTTGGACTTCGCTTGTTTTGCGTGCGGCGCAAGTTTTCAGAGCCTCAAAACATGCCCGAACTGCGATGCGTCCAGTTTGGCGAAGCATGTCGTTGTAAGTTTTGGAAATCCGAAGGCACCCTTTGCCATTGACAGCACGCACAGTGCAAGACGGCCCTAAAGCCTGTTGAATCGAAAGATAATCTGCATCGGACGACCCTACCACCCAAGGCTCGGAGATCTGTACCTGTGGCCACAGCGGCTGTACCAATGTTTGTGCCTTTGGATGATGTGCTTCGGACCCTACAAACAGTTGTGGCATGGCGCTACGTGCTGTGGGCATGACCGTTGCCGGGTTTGAGTTGCACAGTCGCCGATTCCGGCCCGAGGCTCGTCGTAACCTCCAAGGCCAATCTCTCTCACCAACAGTCAAGACTCGTGGATGCCATGGTCCAGCATGGCCGAGAAAGCCTTTCAAAGGCTGTAGCGTGCCTGTGCTTGGTTGCCCTCGGAGATGCGGACGTGAGCATTTCGCGCTTGCTGTGTCAAAACTCGAAGAGAATGTTTCGTGTTTGACAGCAGGTGGCTTCAGCGGAATGCGCGGGAAATTCGATCGATCACCGATTTCAGCGCGGTCGCCGCGCGCAGTGGTCTTTCAGACCAGATGGTCCGGAGGGGCAAGCTCCTATAGCTCATCACCTGGCCCCACCGGCCGTCAGGTGCAGAGTTGCCAGCTTCCGACTCTGCCATCTCTTGCTGTCCCAGTCCTGCGCGCTTGCCTCTTGCAGCATCTGGAGGGCTTGCAGCGCGAGAGAACAGGCTTGTTTGCGACTTTGCTTTTTTTGCGAGCACTGCACGCCCTTTGGAACTTCCAAAAAGCCCGGACTGTGACGCACCACCAACCTTGGCGAAGCATGTCGTTGCAAGTTTTGGAAATCCGAAGGCACCCTTTGCCATTGACAGCTTATACAGGGCTCTAAAGCCGGCTGAATCGGAAAACAAATTGCGTTTGACGACCCTACCACCCAAGGCTCGGAGATCCGTACCTGTGGCCACAATGCTCGTGCCTCTGCATGATGTGCTGCGGACCCTGCAAGCAGTTCGGACGTTGCCCTACATGCTGTGGACATGACCATTGCCGGGTTTGAGTTGAACAGTCGCTGATTCCGACCGATGGCTCGTCGTCAAGTGTCCGTTTACACTGTCGGGTCCTGAGTGCCTGCAGTTTCTTGAGGGCGAAGCTTGCGTGTACGGTGTCATGGGTGTTGCCCGCTGGGCGCAAACAGGGACAGATCCTGCTAAGCCACCCTCTCTCACCAGCATTCAAGACTTGTGGATGCCGTTGTGCAGCATGGCCGAGAAGGCATTGAGAGGCTGTAGAGTCCCTGTGCTTGTTCCTGCCCTTGCGATTTTGTACCTCTGGTAGTTGTTTTGATGCTCCACCCGCTCCCCGCCCCGACCTCCCCACTGTCCTTGCGAACACCCCTGGCAGGACTTGGGTGTATTGGGGAATTTCCGTCCGTATACGGCAGGCGTTGAAAGTTACGCTGCGGGCGGAACCCGGGGGCTCTGGGCTGGAGCTCTCCTCTCCCCCAAAGTTTGAGGGCCACTGAAAGGAAGAACTTGGCGCCAGAAGTTGCGCCCACGATGCTCAGCAGCGCTGGTGGCTACGTGCGAGTTCGTGGGCCTTCCCGGCACGAAAAGGCAAATGATCAATGCCAAAAACTGGCATGTTGATTCATGGCTAACATTGGCTAACGCAAACCACAAGTAGTCAGAAGCAGCTCTCTGATGGGTTTCAGGCTGGCTGTTTGGGAACTGCTGCACATTTCGGGCCCGCTGACTCGGAACCCGGTTGTAATTAAGAACTGTCGGAAGATGTCGGAAGGGTGGTGGGGAGGGACGGGGCATGGCGGGGTGCAGGATGCCATGAAACACCAGCCCCAGGCCAGATCACAAAGCCTGGTCCTTGTCGGTCGGCCAGGCTCAGGTCTTGCCCAAATTCTGAACTTGCAGTGTCCCTGTCCTTCGAGAGTTTCTGGCAGGCACCCATCGTACTTGCCTCCCCCACCCCCTGCCTAGAAGGTATGCATTCCGCACCTGTGGCCACACTTGGATGCACGCCGTGGATTGCTAGGTTCGAAAGATACACCGGCCCACTGCGGTCTGGCCGTTCGGATCTTCGTGCATTTCGCCAGCTGCCGCCGATCCATCTTGGCCCCTCAAAGCTGGTTCTTGCCTGTTGGCCAGGCTCAGGTCTGAGCATAGGGGGGTTGTTGAAGCTTGTTGAATCGGAAAGCAACTTGCAGTTGACAACCCTGCTATTCAAGGCTCGGAGATTCACGCCTGTGCCCACAAGGTTTGTAACTTTGGATGCACGCCGTGGAAGTGACCATTGCTAGGTTCGAAAGATGCACCGGCCCACTGCGATCTGACCGTGCGCATCTTCGTGCATTTCGCGAGCTCCCGCCGATCCATCTTGGCCTCTCGAAGCTGGTTCTTGCCTGTTGGCCAGGCTCAGGTCTGAGCATGGGGGGGTTGTTGAAGCTTGTTGATTCAGAAGCTGATTTGGGCTTGACAACCCACGAACCCTAGAAATCAATGCTCGGAAATCAGGTCTGTGGCCACAAGGTTGTACCTTTGGATGCACGCCGTGGAGGTGACCATTGCTAGGTTTGAAAGATGCACCGGCCCACTGCGGTCTGGCCGTGCGGATCTTCGTGCCTTTTGCCTGCTCTTGCCTGTTGGCCAGGCTCAGGTCTGAGCATAGGGGGTTGTTGAAGCTTGTTGAATCGGAAAGCAACTTGCAGTTGACAACCCTGCTATTCAAGGCTCGGAGATTCACACCTGTGCCCACAAGGTTTGCAACTTTGGATGCACGCCGTGGATGTAAGTAACCATTGCTAGGTTCGAAAGATACACCGGCCCATTTCGCCAGCTCCCGCCGATCCATCTTGGCCTCTCGAAGCTGGTTCTTGCCTGTTGGCCCGGCTCAGGTCTGAGCATAGGGGGGTTGTTGAAGCTTGTTGATTCAGAAGCTGATTTGGGCTTGACAACCCACGAACCCTAGAAATCAATGCTCGGAAATCAGGTCTGTGGCCACAAGGATATACCTTTGAATGCACGCCGTGGAGGTGACCATTGCTAGGTTTGAAAGATGCACCGGCCCACTGCGGTCTGGCCGTTCGGATCTTCGTGCGTTTCGCCAGCTGCCGCCGATCCATCTTGGCCCCTCAAAGCTGGTTCTTGCCTGTTGGCCAGGCTCAGGTCTGAGCATAGGGGGGTTGTTGAAGCGTGTTGATTCAGAAGCTATTTTTGGGCTTGACAACCCACGAACCCTAGAAATCAATGCTCAGAAATCAGGTCTGTGGCCACAAGGTTGTACCTTTGGATGCACGCCGTGGAGGTGACCATTGCTAGGTTTGAAAGATGCACCGGCCCACTGCGATCTGGCCGTGCGGATCTTCGTGCCTTTTGCCAGCTCCCGCCGATCCATCTTGGCCTCTCGAAGCTGGTTCTGGCCTGTTGGCCAGGCTCAGGTCTCGCCCGAAATCTGACGCCGCCTTGCAGACAGCGAAGGAGGCTGGCGCATCTGGCGCTGGATGCATCCTTAATGGCGCCAGCTTCCGACTTCTTTCTTCACGTTGAGCAGTGCCGAAAGCATTTTGAACCACTCATGCCCGCCGTACTCTGTAGCCTGACACCTGAGAGTCTGGTGGCAAGATCTTGAATTTCCGAATGCGATGGCCTAACCAGCTCTCGGCCGTCTGACCGTGCAGAAGGAACCTTCAATGTCTCAGAATGTCTCAGCTGTGTCCTTGCCCAGACCCTTAGACCCCTATTAGAGCCATTAGATTGTCCGACTCGTTGTGGCTGGAACATCATGCCCCACCTGGTCGCAAGTTCGCGTGGTGCGAGTCGGCACAAGGTGACAAGGTGAAAACCCGAAAGTGTCGACGACGGCTCCCGCGTGCTGGAATCCCAGGTGCACAGGTTGCCACTGTAAGCAGCTAAAGGATTCTAAAGGGGCCGCCGTGAAAGCTCTTATAGGATTCATAAGTTCTTACTCAAGCGCAACCCCCCAAGACCGGCAACTCCTTGCTGTCTCGCTTTGCGTTCTCCGAATCCGACGAATTCGCCGGATCCTTCACTCCCATCCTTGCCATCCTGCTCAGCGCCACGCTTTGCCCAATTTGAGTGGTTTCTTGCATTGCTCGAGGATCGCAGGCGTCTGAAAACATTCGCGGCAAGCACTCCCACGTCACTACCATGTGCCACCGCCATGTGCTCGAACTTCTGGTATGGCGGGCTCCAAGGAAAGCTCCTGTTGCGGACAGTGCTTCTCAGATGCACAAGCGTCCTGTCCTCGCGTGTTCGCAACCTTTTTTTTGTGGCGATCAGGGAACTGGAAGACGCATTCTCTTTCAAGGTACAAATGCAGCTCGTGTTTGTTCGCGGGCCCGGCCGGAGACACAGGCAGGGCGTTGCCTCGGAGCACATAGGACTTGTCCTAGTAGAACACAGTAGAACACAGTAGAACACAGTGGAACACAGTAGAACACAGTAGAACACAGTAGAACACAGTAGAACAGCGTAGAACACAGTAGAAAACAGTAGAACACAGTAGAACATAGTAGAACATAGTAGAGCATAGTAGAATTACATGCTGTATAGTACCTGAAACTCCTTCAAGAAATGGCCCGTCTGCAATGCCGCCGTGACATCATCCTTGGCATCGCACCCGGTCACAGTTGTGCGTGAGGGTGTGGGGTAACCTCCAGCAGGTACAGGCGCGAGATCCTGTAAACACTGCAGCGTCGTGTCTTATCAGGTCTTAGGATGACGCAGGCCCCGCACCCGAATCACTTTCGGCCAAGATTGAGCATCGAGGTGCAGCCCGACACCGCACCGGGGTACAAGCAGGTGAATTGTCGAATATTTCTGATGAGTTTGAGAAGCGGTGCAAGTTTATCTGGTGCAAATGCTCAGGCGAGAGATGCATGATCTCCAAAGGTTCTCTAATTGTGCAAAAGATGTGTGTGCGACTACCTTCTTCAGTTCGACAGGAGGGTCTTCGCGTGTTTCCACTGTCGCACACGAATCCAGCGGGTGAACTTTGACAAGTCGATTCTCAGCAACAAGCCGCTATACCCTCTACTGACTACTTTTGCGAAGCGATGCCCCCCGCGTTTTCTCGTTACCTTGAAGTGGCTTGCTGAGAATGGGTGGAGCTGTGATTCCTCTTGCAGCTTGAGCTTCCTCGCCATTGATTTCAGCGACTGGGAACCGATCCAGGACTTCTCCTACGTGGCGCTGCTGCCATTTCTCCAGTGGCCTTCTCTGCGTGGTAAAATGAGGATGGAAGTTGGGCGACTTCATTCAGCTGCTGCTTGTTCGCAGGCAAACTGAACCTTTCAGTGGCTTGCGCAGCGAAAAGAGGAACGCCAGCTTAACAGCAGTGCGCTAACGTGGTGGTAGTGGTGGTGGTAGTAGCAGTAGTAGTAGCAGAAGCAGCAGCAGCAGTCGTCGTCGTCGTCGTCGTCGTAGTAGTAGTAGTAGTAGTAGTAGTAGTAGTAGTAGTAGTAGTAGTAGTAGTAGTAGTAGTAGTAGTAGTAGTAGTAGTAGTAGTAGTAGTAGTAGTAGTAGTAGTAGTAGTAGTAGTAGTAGTAGTAGTAGTAGTAGTAGTAGTAGTAGTAGTAGTAGTAGTAGTAGTAGTAGTAGTAGTAGTAGTAGTATAGTAGTAGTAGTAGTAGTAGTAGTAGTGGTGGTAGTAGTGGTAGTAGTGGTAGTAGTGTAGTGGTAGTAGTGGTAGTAGTGGTAGTAGTAGTGGTAGTAGTGTAGTAGTAGTGGTAGTAGTGGTAGTAGTGGTAGTAGTGGTAGTAGTGGTAGTAGTGGTAGTAGTGGTAGTAGTGGTAGTAGTGGTAGTAGTGGTAGTAGTGGTAGTAGTGGTAGTAGTA